AAAAGCGGCGTAAAACCATAATCACTCACTAATGTGGGAGGAAAGCCCAAAGTGATGCAGGTCTCAGACATTTACCACTTTGGTGAAACCCACGAGCACTGGTGCTGACAAACCTAGAAACATAATCAGGGCGAACCGGGATTCGAACCCACAATCATAGGTGTCTGGTGTACCAATGGAAGCAACTGCATAGCGAGTTACAGCATCTATGACAACTGGGCCGTAAGCATGGTAAGCATCAGAGAAGCCTCAAACATAATGAACAAGAAATTCAAGTTGCAGCTTACATCAATTCACACGATGTTTATTTTTATGTGTCTTTTCCTTTTTGCATAATAACATACATCTGCTAAATTCTCATGTGCATCAGTCAATGAACAATAACAAACCCTTAAAATACTTATGATCTTATGATATACCAGAGCTTCCTATTGCCAGGTCCTAAACAGTCATAAATATTATTGCTGTGCTGAAATATGTTTAACAGAAAGCTTTTAAAATAATTTTCATGTACTGAGTACATGCTTTCTAATTCTGTAACTTGTTCTTGTTGCCATACGGCTAAAAAATGCTGATGCAAAGTTCAGTTTTAACTCACTCATTCATATTGCCAGGGACCTAAACCACTGACCCCTAAAAACTACAAATGACCCAGCAGTTTTTTTTATAAGGGTTTTCTGGCCCTATATTTCTTGTCCATGGTCCAGCAGTTTCACAGGGACGCAACGTGACACAAGCCCAATGTCCAAAGTCAGCTGTTAGGATGCAGAGCTCCAGATAAGCTTTTGGTGTTGTTGGTATTTTACCCATGCATTTTAAAATCATTGGGTATCAGTAATTCTATCTGGGTATTCAAATTTCTGTTACCCACTAGTTTTTACACATGTGGGTATCTAAGTAAAATATTTAAAAACACTATTCATCTAGTCCCTGCAAACTGGTGTCGTGTGGGTTCGAGAGCTTTATAGGACTCAAAAATACCACGATACTTCCACAAGAAAGTGTGATGGCAAATGATCATGATGTAACTGTCATCGTGGAGTCTGGTAAGGCTGACGGAATGCCCGTTTATAATTTCAAAATAAGTTGCTGATTGCTAATCGAATACGCAGGGTAACTTCACAATATTTTGATGATACGCACAAGTTTTATTTTTGTAGCGTATCCGTAATGTTCGTTGCGTATTTGATACGCTTGGATTTTATTTCACTGCATATTTCTGCAATTCTGATGCGTATTTTACGCAGATACGCAGCTTATCTGGAGCTCTGCGGATGTTAGAGGTATCCGAAGGACAAGTAGAATCTCAGGCTTTTTAGGGCATGACCTAATATGTTATTACTATTCGGGAGGCGGGACGGTGGGGAAGCCCTATGGTTAAAGCGTTCGCTCGTCACGCCAAAGACCCGGTTCGATTCTCCCCATGGGTATATTTATGAAGCCCATTTCGGGTGTCCCCTATTGCCACTGTGATATTACTGGAATACTGCTAAAAGTGGCGTAAAACCATTCTCACTCATTCACTATTCGACCAAGTAAATATTTCCAGTTAACTTGCATTCCTGGTTAATGGGTCACTCAACCTATAAAATGTTTAATCCTTTTGGAGTTCGGGAAGATCATTGGTCTCAATCATGACCAATCAGGGACCATACTAATGACATATACATGCGTTGAAAGCAGCTGGAGAGTTAATCCTGGTGCAGACAAAACACTGTTGTCTCTATCATCCATCACTGTCACTGTGTAACCATACACAGTTTGTACAGCTCCACATCCTAGATCATCATGATCATAGACAATACTAATCTATCATGTCAATGCATGTCCTTGATAGGCAACAGCAACTTTAGCCTCAAGTCCAAAAGTCTGAGTCTAGTAAAATAACGTTTGGTCTACCGGGTATTTGCTTGTGAATAATGGATCGTAAGAGCCTTTTTCATGCAAGTAAATTCAAAAGCTTTTTGCACAGAATGAGCCAATGCTTATTTATCAAGTCAGTAACCAAGGTAACTAATGGATGACTTTCAAAGAAGACCATATCAGATATATCCTTATAACTTTATATAAGGCAGGCAATACCAATCGCATGTTCAAAATGAAGCATGAATGTCAAGGAGCCCTTGTCTAACCAATAAAGTCACTGTATTTGAACATTTTACATGGTCAAGAAGTCCCTAGATTAATATACATTAGAAGCAATATACGTATATACCTAAAGGACCCCAGGTCTCCATTCCACAAAGCTATCTTAGGCTAAGACGGCTGTAAGTTTATGTTAAAGAAGGAGTTACTATCAACTTAGCGCTACGACTGCTGAAAGTTTATGTTAAAGTATGGAGCTGTGATCAACTTACCTCTACGACAGCTGTAAGTTTATGTTAAACTATGGAGTTACTATCAACTTAGTGATACGACTGTCGTAAGTTTATGTTAAAGAAGGAGTTACTATCAACTTAACGCTACAACTGCTGTAAGTTTATGTTAAAGAAGGAGTTACGATCAACTTACCGCTACGATCACTGTAAGTTTATGTTTAAGTATGGAGTTGTGATCAAATTACTGCTACGACTGTCGAAAGTTTATGTTAAAGAAGGAGTTACAATCAACTTACCACTACGACTGCTGGAAGTTTATGTTAAAGTATGGGAGTTTCAATCATTTTACCACTACAATCCCTTTGTGGAACAGGGCCCAAGGTCCAGGGTCCCATAACTTCAAAACCAGCTGATCCATTATAATTACAAGATGCTTTCCAACAGGCCTAACTGAGTGGGCATACAAATGGCGTACATGATTCACAACTATGTGTACTCTCAACCCGGCTATTCCATTTCACAGAGCAAACAATCTGTGAAAACTATCTACCTGTCCAAAGTCTAAGTTCAATGAAAGTTCTCTCTGTCTGCTGTTTAAGAATGGTTCATTTTCTTTGACATTGGCTGATTGCCATCCAAAATGTCCTAAGAGTTTTATTCAAATTTGGTGATAATATTGCAAAATGTCCTATCAAAAGATGACAATATTTCTAAAACATGTCCTAGTGCCATTTGTCTAGCAATAGGGGGGGCACAGGTGGCCCAGTTGTCGCTGTGCAGAGTTGCTTCCCTTGGGCACGCCAGAATCCTATGATTGTGGGTTCGAATCCCAGTTTGCCCCGATTATGTTTCTAGGTCTCTCAGCACCATACCCGTGCTCGTGGGTTTCACAGAAGTTGTAAACATCTGAGACCTGCATCACTTTGGGCTTTCCCCCCACATTAAGCTGACACGCCTTGATATAACTGGAATACTGTCAAAAGCAGCGTTAAACCCAACTCACTATCTGTCAGGCAATACGACTGTATCATAAGCCCAGCTCACAACTGCCCACATATTCACATAAAAATATACAACATCTGTTGCCAATAGAGGAGATCAGACACTGATCACGATAAATCTATAGGACAATAAATCAATAACATTAAATTAGATTTCCGCCTTGAAATGTTTTACAAAGATTTCTAACCATGACAAGGACGTGTGCTGAGAGGAGCTGCCGTGATGATTCATGCCTGGAGTACCTATTTCCCTATTGTTCCCTGACCTAGAACAACCACAACTCAAAACCAGCCTGCTGGGTGGTGTGACCGGAAGAAATTTAAAAAAAAACATATTTAAATTCAAAACCTTTGATTCTTTTGAAGTTATTCAGATGAATCACAAAGCAGTTTACCAAATATAACACAAATTATGTTCTAGTTTACAAAAATGTTTTCTCAAAATGGATTTTAAAGGTATATGATATTTTATCACCAGGAAAGTGTTAATGATGGTTAATGGTTAACAATACCCCTGTATTTCAAACAAAATAAGTATGATAAATTGGAAACAGATTGTTTTCCATGCACAAGCACTGAGCATTTGAATTAAAATTGCATTATTTTGAAATTTGAACTGGTGACTTTTCAAATGCAGTCTTACTGACGTACACTGAAATTGACTCGCTACTGGTAGTGGAGGGTTGGTTCGTCTGGGTTAGCCCGATCAGATCCTAGTCGGAATCGTGGACTACTTTTCTATCACACTGTTCCATAAACCACAAGTCTGTAATGTGCTGTGCACTAGTTAGGTCTAACGCATAGTGTCTGCACCTGTAAATGGGACAAATCTTTGTTGCTGCGTTATGGGAGAACCTCCCTGTTAACACATGGCTAGCGATAATCAACAGATATTTGCACAGCACAAAATGCAATCAACAATACTCATTCAATTATTTTATGCCTGGTGTGGGGAGACTTGTATCAGCATGATACTTGATATTCATATTTCAACTCATTTGAAGTCAAACTTATTAAATTTTCAAAATTACAGGGTGTTTTTATTATAATTTGAATCAACTCTTTTGAAAGGAAATCTGATTCACTCATTATGTACATAAAATATTTCCTTGTGTATAATTTTGTAACCATGATCGACCACGGCACGATGGTGAACATGGATAACAAAAGAATCAATTTTTGCTGTGTTTCTGAGAAAGAATAACAAAAAATGTTGTGACTCCATTATAACAAGTCACATATGCAAATCCAACTATTTTTTTCAGTTTTGAACTGAATATTCCTTTGTAACTCCTTTCATTAAATGACAAATAGAACTTGATCCATTTTTAGTAGGATTTCTATGAATTTACTTATTTGTAATTTTCTTGATATTGACCAGCTTGACCTTGAGGAATAAATAAGTGGCACAGCAAATATTTTTATGTTCAGGCTCAAGGACATAGATACAAATAGCTACAAATGTACCATGCCAAGATACTTATGTATATCTGAACAGTATGGCATTGGAGACCTCATACATTTTTAACACCATAGCATGCCATAGTTCATAGTCACCAGTACCTGTGGCCTGGGGACATTTTGAGATGCACCAGCCTCTTGCTCTGTATTTCAACTAATTGTCTTATTAAATTACATGGAATAAAGTTAATGATAAGAATATAGAAGACATATTACTTACAGATGCTGTCAGCATTCTTGTCATCGTCACTGGAGTCTGATTGTACATCCACACATTCTCCGTTATCTCCGTCGTCGGACTCGTCCGATGTTGCAGGTTTGGCAGAACTGTCTGCACCACCATCTACAGCACTTTCCTCCGTCGTGACACTCACGCTGTCAGACACCGATGGCGAGGACTCGTTGGTCGACAAGTCATCGCACAATCCTGAGTCTTTACTACCTTTGTAAGGCTGTTTCTGTAACGTTGACGCAGGAGAAACCTCCCCAAACACCATATTGTCATACAGATGATCACTTCCATCGCTGTCATTCGAATCATCTTGTCTCGTAAGACAACGATCAATTGTCCAATTCTCATAACTCTGAGCACTACTATGAGATTTATGTTGTTCCGAATCTGACAAAATGCTGTCAGGTTTTATTTTCTCTGGTTTATTCCGCATAGGAACATCGACAACCCCACAATCCTCAGTTTTGATCGACACTGTTGAATATTCTTCCTCAAGTTTCCGATAGGTACCTTCATCCTCAAGCTTCCGATAAGTACATTCATCGTTAAGTTTCCGATATGTTCCTTCTATCTGATCAAACTTTGCTCCATCACCCGTGTCAAGGTGCTTTCTGTCGCTCTTTGTACGATACAGTTTCTTCATGTCTGTATCATCTAATGTCTGACGACAGGGAGTTTCAGTTTCCTGGCATGAGACCTGATCCAGATGAGTTAAAGAGTTGCTTATGTTAACGGCACTGACTAAACTCGATGCACAAAGGTCCTGAATCCCTGGCCTCTCACCTGTGCTCAGGCGTACTGGTAAACTGTCACACTGTCTCTCTGTGATAACGGACTTGCTGTTTGTGTATTCAAGTCCTGTAGAATGTTTACTCGACAAACGTTTGGCACACCCCTCGTCGCTGTTTGCATGGGATGCGTTTTCGCTGACATCATTTTGACCAGTGTTTTCAGTAGGGCCAGGTAGACCATTGTCCGTCATACATGTAGCCATTGTGTTAGCATTCAAAGCTGTATCACGTGGAAGAGAACTAAATTGTTGATCAGCCTCTGTCTGAAAGGTGCTCAGCAGTGACAAATCAGACGAGCTACTTCTATGTAAACTGAGACGCGGTGCAGGTTGCGGTTTGCTAGGTTTTCTCGGAACAGGAGGGGGCTGCTTCGATGACAAGCTGCAACTTAAATTTGAAGCAGGCAACATACCTGTTGAATACCTCGTGGTTACTTCATGTTTTGATCGTGACGGGACCACCCATACTTTGCCATAGTCCGAGTCCGTGTCTGAATCGATGACTGTTATTTTCGAGTGGTAAATTGGGACAGGTGCTCGAGTCGCGACAGAGTTGTCCCCCCTTGAATGCGACCACGAAATGTGCTTTCTCTGTTGATAGTTTCGCAGAAATGAATCGCTCGTCCCTATCTTGCCACTCCCATTCACTGTTCTTTCAGGTGACTGGTCATTCTTCCCGCTTCGCGTCACACAATCACTGTCACGCCTTGCATCAACCAATTCCGGGTCGTAAGAAAATGGTGGATAACCGCACCTTTTGTCTTTGCCGACAAAACTGTAAACATAATCATTTATGAACTTGTCGTCCTTTTCACATTTTTCTTTCTCTTCTCGGTCTTTCAGTTCAGCCTCCAAAGTCTTCTGAATAAATTCCTGCTGTTCTAACTCTACCCTGAGTTGAGTTATTTTGTCTCTTGTCACCTGTAGAAAGAGACGCAAGTCCCTTGTTGATGTACCGTGTTCGTCACGGCCGGCGAGCACGCTTGGTATTGGTGCATCCGCAAACTGCTCTCGCCATTTTGCCTCGATAGGTTCCGGGTTTTCCATTCAATAACGAATGAATGGGCGTATAATTTTTCCTCTAGCGGTTTCGCTAGAAGCTAACGCCGCCCTCTGATAAAAAATTCACAACTTTTCGCCTGAGGTGGGTGATCGATCCAAACATGGGCGTGGATGACGTCACAAGGGTGTCTCCCAACTATATTTATCACGTGAAGCAAGGGATTCCTTCTAAAAATAGAAAAGAGCGATAACGTTATTGAATGTCACAGTTGTTTACAGAAGACATCGTGACGATGGCTGGATTGGACAGTGCTCATTAGTTATACAATTGCTTTGAAACACGATGCGTTAGATCATATTTTAAGATATACATGTGAGAGGCATGTCACGAATATACAATATTTAACCACTTAGGTTTCTCGTCAAAAGTATATGGAGGACATAAAAGATTTGTTAACGAACGCAAAATGTTACGAAAGTGTTTGTAAAAGACTGAATTACAGGACAACCACTGACTAATCGAACTATATACAGATAGCTAAATCGAACGCTAATCCAAAGCGCTGATTATCACCCAACGACGCTTTTATTATCATAATATGTCACCCGTGAAGATCCGGGGTAGAATAGGTCTTCAGCAACCCATGCTTGCCGTAAAAGGCAACTTTATTTGTAAAAGGCGACTAACACAAATACGTACATACACCCGAAACACAAGTGTCAAAACGTGTGATGTCACCCTGGGCAAGTGACTTCGTTCACATGCGCCTCTGCTCACCCAGCAGGGAATGGGTACCCGATATGTGAGGTGGATGTAAAAAGCCTCTAGCGCCCGTAGGCAGCTTGGGTTGTATACTTCCCAGGGGGTCGAGAATTATAACTGGAATGGAAACGGATCCACTGGTCGGGGAAAATTAAAAACCGCATTTGAGCAGATACTAGTATCTGGATAAGTGCGGTATTTAAATGTTTGATAATAGAACAGCGGCCTGAGACATACAAGTCGGTGATATTATGAACACCCAACGCCGTCGGGGTACAATGTTTGTTTGTTTGTTTGTTTGTTTGTTTGTTGTTTAACGGCGCACTCAGCAATATAACAGCTATATGACGGCGGTCTGTAAATAATCGAGTCTGGACCAGACAATCCAGTGATTGACATCATGAGCATCGATCCACGCAATTGGGATCGATGGCATGCATCAACCAAGTCAGCGAGCCTGACAACCCGATCCCGTTAGTCGCCTTTTACGACAAGCATAGTCGCCTTCTACGGCAAGTATGGGTTGCTGAAGACCTATTCTACCCCAGGATACGTATGTAGACAGGCCTGGCAACGTGATACGTATCATAGGCCAGGTGACGTGATACGTATCATAGGCCAGGTGACGTGATACGTATCATAGGCCAGGTGACGTGATACGTTTCATAGGCCAGGTGACGTGATACGTATCATAGGCCAGGTGACGTGATACGTTTCATAGGCCAGGTGACGTGATACGTATCATAGGCCAGGTGACGTGATACGTATCATAGGCCAGGTAACGTGATACGTATCATAGGCCAGTTAACGTGATGCGTATCATTGGCCACGTAACGTGATGCGTATCGTAGGCCAGGTGACGCGATACGTATCATAGGCCAAGTAACGTGATACGTATCGTAGGTCAGGTGACTTGATACGTATTGTAGACCAGGTAACGTGATACGTATCATAGGCCAGGTAACATGATACGTATCATAGGCCAGGTAACGTGATACGTATCAAAGGCCAGGTAACGTGATACGTATCATAGGCCAGGTAACGTGATACGTATCATATGCCAGGTTACATGATACGTATCATAGGCCAGGTAACGTGATACGTATCATAGGCCAGGTAACGTGATACGTATCATATGCCAGGTAACGTGATACGTATCATAGGCCAGGTAACGTGATGCGTATCACAAGCCAGGTAACGTGATACACATCATAGGCCATGTAGGTAACGTGATACGTATCATTGGTATGACTGGTGACGTGATACGTATCGTAGAGTAGGTAACGTGATACGTATCGTGGGTCAAGTGACGTGATACGTATTGTAGACCAGGTAACGAAACGTGATACGTATCGTAGAGTAGGTAACGTGAGACGTATCGTAGGCCAGTTAACGTGATGCGTATCACTGGCCACGTAACGTGATGCGTATCGTAGGCCAGTTGACGCGATACGTATCATAGGCCAAGTAACGTGATACGTATCGTAGGTCAGGTGACGTGATACGTATTGTAGACCAGGTAACGTGATACGTATCATAGGCCAGGTAACATGATACGTATCATAGGCCAGGTAACGTGATACGTATCAAAGGCCAGGTAACGTGATACGTATCATAGGCCAGGTAACGTGATACGTATCATATGCCAGGTTACATGATACGTATCATAGGCCAGGTTACGTGATACGTATCATAGGCCAGGTAACGTGATACGTATCATATGTCAGGTAACGTGATACGTATCATAGGCCAGGTAACGTGATGCGTATCATAAGCCAGGTAACGTGATACACATCATAGGCCATGTAGGTAACGTGATACGTATCATTGGTATGACTGGTGACGTGATACGTATCGTAGAGTAGGTAACGTGATACGTATCGTGGGTCAAGTGACGTGATACGTATTGTAGACCAGGTAACGAAACGTGATACGTATCGTAGAGTAGGTAACGTGAGACGTATCGTAGGCAGGTAACGTGATACGTATCGTAGGGCAGGTAACGTGATACGTATCATAGGCCAGGTAACGTGATACGTATCATGGGCCAGGTAACGTGATACGTATCATGGGCCAGGTAACGTGATACGTATCGTAGGCCAGGTAACGTGATACGTTTCGTAGGTCAGGTAACATGATACGTATCGTAGGCCAGGTAACATAATATGTATCATAGGCCATATCATAATACGTATGGTAGGCCAGGTAACATGATACGTATCGTAGGGCAGGTAACGTGATACGTATGGTAGGGCAGGTAACATGATCCGTATCGTAGGGCAGGTAACGTGATAGGTATCGTAGGCCAGGTAACGTGATACGTATCGTAGGGCAGGTAACGGGATACGTATCGTACACCATGTAACGTGACACATTTCGTACGCCAAGTAACGTGACACATATCGTACGCCATGTAACGTGACACATATCGTACGCCATGTAACGTGACACATATCGTTGGTCAGGTAACGTGATACGTATCGTAGGGCAGGTAACGGAATACGTATCGTAGGGCAGGTAACGGGATACCTATCGTACACCATGTAACGTGACACATATCGTACGCCATGTAACGTGACACATATCGTACGCCATGTAACGTGACACATATCGTTGGTCAGGTAACGTGAAACGTATCGTAGGCAGGTGACGGGATACGTATCGTAGGGCAGGTAACGTGACACATATCGTACACCATGTAACGTGACACATATCGTACGCCATGTAACGTGACACATATCGTTGGTCAGGTTACGTGATACGTTTCGTAGGCCATGCAGGTAACATGATACGTTTTGCAGGCCAGGTTACGTATCACGTATCGTTTATAAGTATAAGAAGGTTATCTCTGGGACCCGAACCGCGCAGGGAAAAGGCTGGATGTCATCCCGCCATGGCACCACACAGAGTCTCAGACATCTTCACGATCCGTGGTCTTGTGGTAGAGCGCCCGCCCGGAGAGCGGAAGGTCGGGCGTTCTTTCCAATGATTTACAATTCACATAAAATTGAATGGAAAAATGTAGTTCCCCACCCCGTTGGTCGATCGCGCAGGGGATGTAATAAACTCAGAGTATACTGTCGTTTTAAGCAGGACTATATTATTGATGAGTATGTCCCCGCCCTATGCTCTGTGCCCACAGAAGCGCTTTGGCTTAATTTACATGTGGCACAGCTCCTATCTACATTGCATTAGGACTGTATCTCAACATGCCTTTAAAAGACAAGAAGCGTGTTCAGTGTCTTAACGTTGTGGAACATGAATGCCATGTCATATTAATACCATGTCAATTGTCCTGTTTTTAATAACGAGTGACGTAGTCCATTAAACAAGTTCCACGAGTTAAACTCAAATTTTGTCAACCTGTGTGATGTATAGAAAATAGACTATATTTTGTCAGTAAGCATTTTATGTCCTCTTACCGCCAAACCAGCAATGACATTTTACAAAAAAAGGAATATTGTTTTATACAGCTGCTTGTCAGCTGCTAGTTGTTATTATATATGCTAAATAGGTGAATACATTTCAGAAGAGTCTCTCTAAACGCCGTACGTAGTGGCCATACATGTATTTTATCATGTAACAGTGTTGTAATGGATTAGGGTGAGACTGTAATAAACATCTGTCTGTCTGTTGTCCTGTCTGTCCAAAAGGAAGCAATGTTGCTATTGGTCAAGGGTAGAATCAAAATAGAATGCAGATATAATACTCTAGATAATCGAGGATGGTGGTTGACTGAATGACTGAATACAGTAAAACCATGCTACTCCGGACGACGTTAATCCAGAAACCCGCCTATTAAGGACGATTATTGCTGGCGACTCCATACACACAGAGGTGATCATTGATAATGATTCCATGCAGGTTTGACAGCACCATGCTCGTTGGTTTCACCAAAGTGGTAAACGTCCTAGACCTGCATCACTTACGCTTTCCTCCCACATCAAACTGAGACCCCTAGATATGACTGAAATACTGTTCAACGCGGCATTAAACCCAACTTACTCACTCACTCTCTATGCATAAGGATATTTCTTCACACTCATGTTTCGTAAGTCAGATGATGTCGCTGTGAACAATACTGTCCAGTATACCAGGGTTTGCGTGTATACAATCTGGGTGTGTAGAGGCACGGTGCAGTGAAATATACTACTCAATGTTTATAAGGATAACCAAATATATTGTTCTATTTAAATACAGTAAACTACGGTTATAACGAACTCAAATGGACCACTAATTTTAGTTCGTTATAACCGTAGTTCGTTATTAACATTTATACAACATCTATTCAGCAAATGTCAAGGACCAAAAATTAAGTTCGTAATATCCGTCAGTTCGTTATAAGCGTGTTCGTTATATACGTATTTTACTGTATACACATGGCATATTATGAGAATCGGTTTTGTGTTTCACGGAAAGGCAACATTATCCCTGTCAAAAGAGGAGTAGTATATTTATCGATTAT